ACAGGGTTTCAGCAGCATCAACAATTTTAATGAATCAACATTTTTATTGTAGCAGGATTTTGCTAAGGGACAGATAGTAAGGTAGTTCAGCTTGGGAGTCGAAGGAGGAGAAGAGAGTTGGGTTGCGGAATTGAGTTAAAGATTCTTGAAGAAGGAGGTTGAGTTAGGGAGACCCAGTTGAGAGGTCAAGAGATATAGAGGAGAGTTAGAAAGCTAGGGTTAAAGTGAGAATTAGGAAGTTAGTAATAATAGAAGTTTTAGTTGCAGTTTGTAGATCTGTGCAGTTTTACAGTTTACAGTTGGAGATCATTAATTTGAACTGAAGACAGTGGAAATTGAGAACAGAAAGTATCAGTAATACAAAAGAGAACGTAACACTGGTGACCATCATTGGAGTCTGGATTACTAAAAACTAGTGTCCAGCTGTATTGATAATTTAGAAATGTAACACTGGTGGAAGCACTACTATAGATTATGTTGGTTATTCCATAAACATTAAGGTGGGTCAAATAATAATTAACTTTAATGTGTCGTTTTGGCCAACTCAACACAACCAGGCAGCCAACAGCCAAAAATGAAGATACTTTACCTTTCAGTTCATCAGAAGAAGTTGTTTTAAGCATTTGACACATTTGACTCCTTTGACCCTGAAAGTAAGTCAAGGTCATTTTTATTCGCAAACTTGGTCGTGCTCTATCCAAGGAAGCAACCAGCCAAATATGAATACCATTTAGTTCTTCAAAAGCAGTCGTTTATAGAGTTTGACACATTTGACTCCTTTGACCTTGAAAGTAAGTCAAGGTCATTTTTATTCGCAAACTTGGTCGTTCCCTATCCAAGAAAGAAGCCAGCCAAATATGAAGATTCTATACCATTAAGTTCTTCAGAAGAAGTCGTTTAAAGAGTTTGACACATTTGACTTCTTTGAACTTGAAAGTGGGTCAAGGTCATTTGTATTCGCAAACTTTGTCGTGCTCCTACCAATAAAGCTTTCTGCAAAATATCATGACTTTAGGCCTGTCTGTTCTTCAGGAGAAGTTGTTTAATGGAAAAGTGGACGGCTGTATACACAATATCATATTAAAATGTTTTATCCGGAGTCTGTACACACAATATCATATTATAATGTTTTATCCGGAGTCTGTACACACAATATCATATTATGATGTTTTATCTGGAGTCTGTATACACAATATCATATCATAATGTTTTATCTGGAGTCTGTATACACAATATCATATTATAATGTATTTTCCGTATTCTGTATACACAATATCATATTATAATGTTTTATCCGGCGTCTGTATACACAATACCATATTATAATGTTTTATCTGGAGTCTGTATACACAATATCATTTCATAATGTTTTATCTGGAGTCTGTATACACAATATCATTTCATAATGTTTTATCTGGAGTCTGTATACACAATATCATTTCATAATGTTTTATCTGGAGTCTGTATACACAATATCATATTATAATGTATTTTCCGTATTCTGTATACACAATATCATATTATAATGTTTAATCTGGAGTCTGTATACACAATATCATATTATAATGTATTTTCCGTATTCTGTATACACAATATCATATTATAATGTTTTATCTGGAGGCTGTATACACAATATCATATTATAATGTTTTATCCGGCGTCTGTATACACAATACCATATTATAATGTTTTATCTGGAGTCTGTATACACAATATCATATAACATTTTACACGGAGTCTGTATACACAATATCATATTATAATGTTATATCTGGAGTCTGTACACACAATATCATATTATAATGTTTTATCGGGAGTCTGTATACACAATATCATATAACATTTTACACGGAGTCTGTATACACAATATCATATTATAATGTATTTTCCGTATTCTGTATACACAATATCATATTATAATGTTTAATCTGGAGTCTGTATACACAATATCATATTATAATGTATTTTCCGTATTCTGTATACACAATATCATATTATAATGTTTAATCTGGAGTCTGTATACACAATATCATATTATAATGTTTAATCTGGAGTCTGTATACACAATATCATATTATAATGTATTTTCCGTATTCTGTATACACAATATCATATTATAATGTTTAATCTGGAGTCTGTATACACAATATCATATTATAATGTATTTTCCGTATTCTGTATACACAATATCATATTATAATGTTTTATCCGGCGTCTGTATACACAATACCATATTATAATGTTTTATCTGGAGTCTGTATACACATTATCATATAACGTTTTATCCGAAGTCCGTATATGGAGTCTGTATACACAATATCATATGATGTTTTATCCGGAGTCTGTATACACAATATCATTCTGTATACACAATATCATATTATAATGTTTAATCTGGAGTCTGTATACACAATATCATATTATAATGTTATATCTGGAGTCTGTACACACAATATCATATTATAATGTTTTATCTTGAGTCTGTATACACAATATCATATGATGTTTTATCCGGAGTCTGTATACACAATATCATTCTGTATACACAATATCATATTATAATGTTTAATCTGGAGTCTGTATACACAATATCATATTATAATGTTTTATCTGGAGTCTGTATACACAATATCATATCATAATGTTTTATCTGGAGTCTGTATACACAATATCATATGATGTTTTATCCGGAGTCTGTATACACAATATCATATTATAATGTTTCATCCGGAGTCTGTATACACAATATCATATTATAATGTTTTATCCGCAGTCTGTATACACAATATCATATTATAATGTTTTATCTGGAGTCTGTACACACAATATCATATTATAATGTTTTATCTTGAGTCTGTATACACAATATCATATTATAATGTTTTATCCGGAGTCTGTACACACAATATCATAATATCATGTTTTATCTGGAGTCTGTATACACAATATCATGTTATAATGTTTTATCCGGAGTCTGTATACACAATATCATATAACATTTTACACGGAGCCTGTATACACAATATCATATTATAATGTTTTATACGGAGTCTGTATACACAATATCATATTATTATGTTTTATCTGGAGTCTGTATACACAATATCATATTATAATGTTTCATCCGGAGTCTGTATACACAATATCATATAACATTTTACAAGGAGTCTGTATACACAATATCATATTATAATGTTTTATCTGGAGTCTGTATACACAATATCATATTATAATGTTTTATCCGTAGTCTGTATACACAATATCATATAACATTTTACACGAGTCTGTATACACAATATCATATTATAATGTTTTATCCGGAGTCTGTACACACAATATCATATTATCATGTTTTATCTGGAGTCTGTATACACAATATCATGTTATAATGTTTTATCCGGAGTCTGTATACACAATATCATATAACATTTTACACGGAGTCTGTATACACAATATCATATTATAATGTTTTATTTGGAGTCTGTACACACAATATCATATTATAATGTTTTATCTGGAGTCTGTATACACAATATCATATTATAATGTTTTATCCGGAGTCTGTATACACAATATCATATTATAATGTTTTATCTGGAGTCTGTATACACATTATCATATAACGTTTTACATGGAGTCTGTATACACATTATCATATAATGTTTACACGGAGTCTGTATACACATTATCATATAACGTTTTACACGCAGTCTGTATACACATTAGCATATAACGTTTTACACGGAGAATGTATACACATTATCATTTAACGTTTTACACGGAGTCTGTATACACATTATCATATAACGTTTTATCCGAAGTCCGTATACTTGTATGGTGGTATACAGTGATATAGTGGTATCCAGTGATATTCAATTATAGCCTTTGGCTGAGGTCTATACCTGGATTTATCGACCCGAGAAAAGATGTGTCCTCGGTCAATATATCTTTTATCGGGTCGATAAATCCAGGTATCGACCGAAGTTAAAGGCTAAACATTGATGTAAGCAATCTGAAAAAAAAAAACACAACAAAAAAGCTTTGGAAGGGGGATGGTGAGTTGTTTGGTGACACATCATAATTCTAAAATAGAAACACCCATCCTTCAACAAAAATCACACGCTCCAAGTCAATATCGGTTTTTATCGGTGGACACGTGATGCACTCCTGGCCAATCACTTGTTGAGAATAATATGAAAAAATAATAAAGTGGTATACAGTGCACCTTGTCAGATTTACTTAGTTACTTGGTCAATATCTCCTGAACAACACTCATAAACGCAAGAACAAGTTTTATTACAATTAAATTCTAATGAAGTACAAAAAGTGGTCACTTAATGCTGGTGGTCTCTAGATCTAAATACAGGTTCAATTCACCATGAAATCACAACAATATGGAACATTTAAAGCATCCTCTAAACACATTTTTTTTTTAATGGAGGTGGTCATATGTGCACTTTTAACCTTTCAACACAATTTTATTACCAGTAGATGACATTCAAAAATTGTTTGCAATCATTCATCAGTAATACACAGACAACAGCAATTTTATCCGAGGTTTTAATGAAACATAAACAATTCTGAATAACAAATTGATAATGAATCTGAACATCAAAATGAACAACGTTAAGTCCATATTCTTTATCAGTGTATGTGTGTGTGGAAAAGAGTGAGGGTATGTGTGTGTGGAAAAGAGTGAGGGGATGTGTGTGTGGAAAAGAGTGAGCGTAAGTGTGTGTGTAAAAGAGTGAGCGTATGTGTGTGTGTGGAAAAGAGTGAGAGTATGTGTGTGTGGAAAAGAGTGAGCGTATGTGTGTGTGGAAAAGAGTGAGGGTATATGTGTGTGGAAAAGAGGGTAAGTGTGTGTGGAAAAGAGTGAGGGTAAGTGTGTGTGGAAAAGAGTGAGCGTAAGTGTGTGTGGAAAAGAGTGAGGGTAAGGGAATCTGTTTAGCTGTTACAATTACTATGTACAAGGTATATGTAGTCTATATATGTCGTACTGCATTTTTGAAAAATATTAAAAATATTAAAAAAAAATTACCATCTGTTGTGAAGTCCAACGCCCTTATCCAGTCCTCATGACCTTGCAGAATGATGGCTTTTGTAAACTGTTGTAAAAGATAACGATTAGTACTGTACTAAAAATCTGCAATGATCAATCCTTGATTTGTACAAGGAAAATAATTATATAATAGCCTTCTGTTATTTACTATATTCCTCACAAAACCAATTGAATAATTTAAATGACAAAAGGCTCAGAGGGCCTGTATCACTCACCTGGATATCTAAGCAATCATGGCAAAATATTCTCCAAATGAGATCAAAGGGAATAGGCCAGACCTGAAGGCCAATCCTTGTAGCATATCTGAATTAGATTTTTCCATGCCCAGCAATTTTATGTATGGTAATGGGGTGGGGATCTCAACTTTTTTCAAGCTGTGACTCAGAAACTAGGTCCCTAGGGTTGTGGCCAGACCCAAGGATCAATCTAATATCATGACTTCATTCGTCTCTTTATGCCCAGCATTTGTATATCTAGTTTTAGGGTGGGGATCTCAACCGTTTCAAAGTTATGACCAAGGGGTTAATCTGCAAGGGTGGGGCATACTTTGGGGTCAATTCTAATATCATGACTGCATTCGTCTCTTTCTGCCCAGCATTTGTATATATAGTTTATATATATATGTTTCAAAGTTATGACCCAGGGACTATGTCTCCAAGGGAGGGGCCAGGCCAGACCCCAGGGCCATCCTGGAAGCAAATGTGCATTCTTCTCTTTGTACTCAGCAATTGTATATATGGTTATACGGTGAGGATCTCAACCATTTCCAAGTAATAAACTTTTTTTGGCCCCAGCCCCTAGCCTGGGGGGTCAGCTCCACCATTTGTACAATTTTGAATCCTCGCCTCCATGAATGAATGGCACAGTTCCAGAGAAGAAGTCACTTAAAGCAATATGGCCAAATAACCCTTTTTGGCCCCGACCCTCAGCCCCCTTAAGGGTCAGCCCCACCATGAGGACAATTTTGAATCCCCACCTCACATGAATGCTTCTGACCAAAATATGATCGATATCCAGTGCACACTTCCACAGGAGAAGTCATTTAGAGCAATATAGCCAAATTGCCCCCTTTGGCCCCGCCCCTCAGTCCCCTGGTAGGTCAGCCCCACCATTTGTACAATTTGGAATCTCCACTACCTAGGGATGCTTCCAGTCAAATTTAGTTAAATTCCCATCAGTGGTTAAGAAGAAGAAATCGTTTGCAGAAATTGTTGACGTACGGGTGACGGATAGACGACGGACGAACGACGGATAGATGACAGACAGACGACGGATAGACGACGAACGCCACGGTATAACATAAGCTAATACGGTAATTAATGGTAAACTAGAATGTTTTTATTGAAATGTGTATGCTCCTCTACATATGCCAACAACTAGGCGCGTGACAATACGCCTGGAGTGTATCACGATATATTGCAATAGAGAAGGAATGTATTGTGATATGTATCCCGATATATTGTCATAGGAAAAAGGTGCTCATTATAAAAAGAACTTGTTGTCAGTATGACATCAAACTGAACTTGTTGTCAGTATGACATCAAACTGAACTTGTTGTCAGTATGACATCAAACTGAACCATGTACCATACAGATCGCACAGATTTAGGATTTTTAATCGAACATTCCATCAATTATGAAATATGAGCTGATTTCCCACCACTAGTAAAAGCTTGAATAGTTTTATGGGCATATCTGTTAGAATGTATATCAATTGAGAAGGTTAAAACACTGAGCAGATCCTTGAAAAGAAGGTTTAGAAAACTAGAAAATGTCTGTAAGACATGAATGCCCCTGTCACCATGTGAAATTAGTTTTAGTGTTTGATGTTGGACATGGCAACACTATATCCCCCCCCCCCCCCCCCATTTTATGGGGGGCATAAATATTGCGATACAGCAATACAGCATTATTTTATTTCTGTATTGCAATACGATACAATATGCATATGTATTGCGATATAACAGTTTTCCCATATATTGACTTCAACTGTATGTAGATTACTGCCAGTGGTGTGTTACACCAATGACCAAACAGTAGGGTCCATTATTGTGTGATCCACAAATATATGTATTATTTACCTGGTCTTCCTGAAGCGCATAGAGGTGGACCTTCTGGTCATCACAGCCACAGGCCAGCATTGGTACTAGGGTAATACAAAGTAGACACAAGTGTTACAGGGTAATACAAAGTAGACACATGTGTTACAGGGTAATACAAAGTAGACACATGTGTTACAGGGTAATACAAAGTAGACACATGTGTTACAGGGTAATACAAAGTAGACACATGTGTTACAGGGTAATACAAAGTAGACACATGTGTTACAGGGTAATACAAAGTAGACACATGTGTTACAGGGTAATACAAAGTAGACACATGTGTTACAGGGTAATACAAAGTAGACACATGTGTTACGGGGTAATACAAAGTAGACACATGTGTTATTGGGTAATACAAAGTAGACACATGTGTTATGGGGTAATACAAAGTAAACACATGTGTTATTGGGTAATACAATGTAGACACATGTGTTATGGGTCAATACAAAGTAGACACATGTGTTATGGGGTAATACCAAGGTAAACACATGTGTTATGGGGTAATACAAAGTAGACACATGTGTTACGGGGTAATACAAAGTAGACACATGTGTTATGGGGCAATACAAAGTAGACACATGTGTTATGGGGTAATACGAAGTAGACACATGTGTTACGGGGTAATACAAAGTAGACACAAGTGTTACGGGGTAATACAAAGAAGACACATGTGTTATTGGGTAATACAAAGAAGACACATGTGTTATTGAGTAAATACAAACTAGACATGTCTTACCTTCAAAAAATATACAAAGATAAAAGGAGAAATACAGAGTAGATACACACCTTACTTGGTAGTTACATTGTAAAATCTGGTACTAGATATATGTACAAAATGTACTTTGTTAACAATTCAATATGTCAGTCCCTATAGATTCTGAGACATGTAGTTTATACTTGTATGTTTACGCATGTACATTACACCTGTCTATTTTGAGGCATATATATTAACCCACATATATTAACACATGCATGACTTACTGTCTGTTTTTGGGATGAGACTTAACGCCACATCAAGGGCAAACCCAGTACCATATGACAATGTCTGTAACAGTAAGTATTCTGAAACAAAACAAATCAAGGCATATTCAAATTCTAATTGAACCTGATTTCAGCAATTTTTCACTGTTCTTATCGGGAAGAATGCAGATAAGGAACGAAAATTCCCTTGTATTTTCGATTTTGAAGTTTCTGTGTCAGCATATCGAGCGCAAACAAAATTCCTGGAACTGCCTGATGTTACCAAAATGTTTGCTTCTAACGGTTTTCTCATGTTATTTGAGTTGAGAGGAGAAACTTCAAAATGACACTGATCAAATTGTGTTAATAGCCCTATGAATGCAACATTATCTGGTAAAGCTAAAAGGAACTCGCAGTGGAAATGTAAACATATATCTATATCATAACGGATCATGCACAACTGAAAAGATCCTAATGAATTTAGTCCTGGTAGTGTTTGGTTATACAGGTAAGTGCTTGCATGTACCAGTACTTACCAGCAGCACCTGTGCTCCTCCAGATCTTCACCTGGGAGTCTGCAGAAGCTGTCACTACATAGGTGGAGGGCGAATCATCTGTGTTACCGGCTGGGATGGTCAATGCTGCCACGGAATTGATGGGACCAGTATGGCCCTTCAGTGTTGCAATGGCTTTGTACTGCAAAAGGGAGATAATTCTAGCCTGTTATATTATTCTGAAATACCAATCAACATTAGATACTCCACCCATAGTTTACTATACATTGTTAACATGGTGTCCTTAGTTTATTATTTTCTATACATGTAGAAGACCATGTTTATCAACCCATTCACCCCTAAAGTCACATATGAACCTTACAAAAAAAGACTTGGCAAGTCCAGTTTAAAACTGTAGGGGTGAATGAGTCAATATATTATTGTAGAATTGCCTATTGACTGGTAACATAAACCTAAATGTTGAAGGTCACCTTACCTGACCCTGCTGTCCCTGCCATACAATAGCCGTAGTGTCGACTGAACCAGATACAAGCAACTCGTCTCCATCTGTTCCTAAGATAAAATTCATATTTCAACAATTAAAACCTTAAATTTTACCACATTTGCCATGTAAATATATAGAAGCAAATGCAATCAGTTTCAATTCATAGGATAGCACAAGTGTACAACATATTTCAGAGTATAATGACCAAATCAAAAGAATTTTGATAACAACTATAGGAGAGAACTAGACAATAACGGTAGCCTGATAATATATATATATACATGTATATAGAACTAGCAAAATCTCCAGCTGGAATATTAAATACCAATGGTTCTACATTGGTTCTACATTGGTTCTAAAAAAATCAGATATAGTGATACAAACCTGTTATGTCTGCCCTCCTCACCCATGTCACACAGTTGACCTTGTTTTTGTGGCCAGTTAAAGTACACAGCACCCTGGCCGCATGGCCATCACGTTCCTGGAGAAAATAACAGTGACAATTGGTCCAAAAACCTTCAAATTTGAACAATCTGTCATGTAGACTGCCTGATGTTCATACAAAAATATTTCAACCATACTACAGGCACTGAGGGGCAGTAAAATATAAACAAAGACCTTCACACTTTATCCCTGGATCCTGCTTTACCTGCCGTTGAAACTGAAAGCTCAATCTTTGCTGCAATATATACCTGTTCACATTAAACAAAACCACACAAATTTGAATACTCATCTCTTGAAATAACAAATTCTTGAATAAGCAAAGGCAAAATACTATACAACGACAAAAATTTGGTGTCATAATTAAAAATTAATTACATGTCTGTGTTAATTCAGTAGTCATTATGAAAACATCATTTTTATCAGTAATAAGTCCAGAATGGACTAGACATTTTACTAAAGTGTCATTGGCAATAAGATTGTTCTAATAAACCTATTAAACCACTATTACTACACCATGTGGGAATCCTTTTATCAGATTTTAACTTCTGTAACTAGTCATCGTAAGCTTTGATTACAGCTGCTATACCCAGGACGGCCTTGTCATGATCATCTTTTCCTTTTGATTGCTTTTCGTAAATATTGTATATATATTTTGAGTTTGAAGGAACAGGGCCCTCAGTATTCATGAACCATCCTCATGCTCAAGTTTGGGTTATGTGCTCAAACCAGCTCTTTAGTAACATAAACCTTTCATCAAATTATCACCGGAGCATGAAATTGGGCTTGAGCTCAGAACTGGAGTTTGAGCATGAGAACGGTTTCTTGAATATGGGCCCATGCAGATTAAAATCCCAGTCTGGCTAATGCAAATTGCAATGCAAATATAACAATTGCAATGATTTGATAACGGCATCCACCTAAATATTAATTCATAGGTGGTAAGGATCTGATGTGACTTTGGGGTTTGAGATTTTATTTATTTTAATAGGATTTAAGAGGAAAAAGATGGACACAGGCAAATATCTGCCTCTATATCCATATCAATGATACAATATATACATGAAATTCATTGACATTCAGTGGGAAAACAGGTAGCTAGCCCAAGTGTTTATTTTACTGTTTTCCTTGTGCATCTCTTTATTGCCATCCTAGTGTAACTAAAGGTACGGTACGGCTTTTCTATCGACATATGTAACAGCTATGACTGGAGCAGTCTATTTGTTCACATGGGTGTTTACTTTTGAGACGACCGGATTTTGGGGAGATACCGAAAGAGGTTCCGGGCTCAATACACATACGTCATAGATTAAGCCAATCAGAATGGGTGTCCGATACATGTTACATAGGGCCAGGAGGCTGGGGTATAAAAGGGGATGCACAGGCAAAATCAGGGACTTGCGTTGCCGGAAAGCTGGCTATACCAGGAGGGGAAAACCACTCCACTGAGGTGCTGAAAACAGAACACCCACGTTAAGGAACATTAGGGTACTGTTAAGGCTTGTTAGCTGAACGTATGTCAGTGTTCCGGGAGGGGGTGGTTTTCACTGTTATAGTTATAGAATAGTTACAATTACCCATAGACCTTATTTTACTACATTGGGGTTGATATCTATATAGGTTCACTAAACATACATTCTTTTCTCTACACTGTAGGTTTTGTTCTGTCTTATATTATATATACTACTGTTATTAATGTACACATTTTTTGCCATATTTGTTTTAACGGCTAGCTTAGCCGTGTGATGTTAAATAAACGTTAGTTAACTTTGAAACAAGGTGTTGACAGGTTTACAACTCGGATACTCCTCCACATCTGATGGACCTGTGTCTGACGGACGCAGCGAGGACATTCTTGGGGACTGCCACGGGTCAGTTTATCAGTAGTTTGGGGAAAACCGAAATCACTTTCATCGGTATTTGGTTATATCGGCCCAAGGTAATATCGACCAGGCCTAATTTACCCAAGTGAAATCGGCCCAAGTTAAAATTGGCCCTACTATGTATCTATATGTTAAATACATGGGATTTATACATTTATTATACATTAAAGGATTTATTTAATTACGTACTGTTGTCGTTGTTTTGTTTTTATTGCCTTACACAAACAATGATGTTCGCCTACCAGACTGTTGTTATAGGTGAGTAGCTCATAATTAACTCTTGAGTACCTCATCACCGCCTCAACTCCAGGTAGCCAAAGATATTTGTTCAGAGGTTGATATATAAATGAAACCCAAAGAAAGGGATTATTATAACATTTATGTATATTCCATGTATACATAGGGCTGATTTTACCTTGGGGGGCTGATTTCACTTGGGTAAATCGAGGCCGTTTTTACCTTGGGCCGATATAACCATAAATCCTTTCATCTACCAACGCTGGCCAGGCTTTCCCCACAGATGTCCTACCCACTGCTGGTATTACAATTCAATTGATGCTGGGAGAAATGTTATGGACATGGTTTCGTGGTATAGCTAATCAATGTTCAAAACACAGGTTAAACATAAATGTACATGTGAATGCCTTATACGTACACAGTACCATATAATTAATTTAGGCACAGGCACAAGGCTTGCCAGTTTAATAAAGTCATCATTGGTGTATTTGACAGGCGACGCTAGTGCTTATTAAAGTATACAACATAATGTATGATTTTGGCAGTCGCTCCACAGGGATTCGTTACAAATGTCTATTACACATATGCTACACTGATATATGGGTCTTGACTCATATCAGTATAGCACATGTGTATTAGACATTTGTAACGAACCCCTGTGGTCGATCTGTATGTTCAATACCTAACGTTATGTCGAACACGTGAATTAGACTTTAGTGTCATATCTAAGTCATTTAACTTACCTGTGGTTGGTAGATGGCGACGGCATGACATGTTGAGTAACAAATCAAACCACTTCGGCCCCAATCGGCACTGTGAGGACTTCTATTACATCCGCTGCTGATGTAACATGTGGAAACTGCCGCCATACTGCTTTTAATGTACATTCGAGTCGCTTTAGACGTGTCGAATTGGATAGAAGAAAACTCTAGAGAGACTACGCATGCTATAATCTACTTTCACTTTGACTGTTTTATGTCACAACAGAACGTAATATCGAACTCCCTGGTGCAAAATGATCGTTCCGGTTCGCCTTTTTTTCCAGTTTGGAGTTTCTATTTTTCTATTTCAATTACTTAAATCACAATTGTATTCATATGTATTTAATGCAAATGTAAAAGCATTCAAATGCAAGAGGCATATAGTCCTGTATCACTCACTCGGATATTTAAGCAGTCATGGAAATATGTTTTCAAAAAAAGTTATTTTGCAAATATTTCGACATACTCATTCTCATTGGCTTAATAATGTTCCCAATTAAATGAAGTTTTATACCAGCATGCTACTGGTGAAATATCATCACACTCGTTGGGCCTCGGTCCTCCTTGTTATGCAGAAGTTGCTTAAAGGTTTTTACATATTTTACCCCTTTGGCCTCAGAAGTAGGTCAAGGTAATTAATTTGGTGAAAGTTTATAGCACTCCATGCAAGGTACCTACTGGCCCACTATCATCACCCTTGGCCTCCTGGTTTTACATAATTGATACTTGTGACCTTGAAATTTAAGTAGGTCAAGGTCCATTATTTGAAGAAAATAAATAGCACTGCATCATGGCTGATATGTGCCATCTCATTGTTCATCTTTTCATCCCGAAAAGACAAAATTTAATTATTTTACCTAAATCTTGTATGTTCTCCTTTTCGCCCAAAAAGACGAGGAATCGCAAGCAAAATTATAAGCAACCTTTATTTTTCGTATTTTTGAGAAAATCTCGTTTCACAGTTTACACTGTAGCGGATGTCACCCCTGACTAATGCACTGTAGCAGATGTCAATCCTGACTAATTCACTGTAGCAGATGTCATCCCTGACTTAAATGCCCTGTAGCGGATGTCATCTCTGACTAATACACTGTAACGGATGTCATCCCTGACTACTACACTGTAGCGGATGTCCTCCCTGACTTAAATGCAGTGTAGCGGATGTCATCCCGGACGAATACACTGTAGCAGATTTCATGCCTGACTAATACACTGTGGCAGATGTCATCCCTGACTTAAATTCACTGAAGCAGATGTCATCCCTGGCTAATACACTGTAGCAGATTTCATGCCTGACTAATACACTGTAGAAGATGTGATCTCTGACTAATACACTGTAGAAGATGTGATCTCTGACTAATACACTGTAGCAGAGGTCATCCCTGACTAATACACTGCAGCAGATGTCATCCCTGACTAATCCACTGTAGCGGATGTCATCTCTGACTAATACACTGTAGAAGATGTGATCTCTGACTAATACACTGTAGCGGATGTCACCCCTGACCAATGCACTGTAGCAGATGTCATCCCTAACTTAAATGCACTGTAGAAGATGTCATCCCTGACTTAAATTCACTGTAGCAGATGTCATCCCTGACTTAAATGCACTGTAGCGGATGTCATCCCTGACTTAAATGCATTGTAGCGGATGTCATCCCTGACTTATACACTGTAGCAGATGTCATCCCTGACTTAAATGCACTGTAGCAGATGTCATCCCTGACTAATACACTGTAGCGGATGTCATCCCTGACTTAAATGAATTGTAGCGGATGTCATCCCTGACTTATACACTGTAGCAGATGTCATCCCTGACTTAAATCCACTGTAGCAGATGTCATCCCTGACTAATACACTGTAGCGGATGTCATCCCTGACTAATACACTGTAGCGGATGTCATCCCTGACTTAAATGTACTGTAGCGGATGTCATCCCTGACTTATACACTGTAGCAAATGTCATCCCTGACTTAAATGCACTGTAGCGGATGTCATCCCTGACTAATACACTGTAGCAGATGGTTTTCTCGTCTGGTAGTTTTATTCATGTTCTTCACAGATTAATATGCCTATAGATCTTTGGCAGAAAATGAGGCAATAACGGGAAAAGGTTCTCATATTTGTTCTCCATATAGATGTAAATGTGTTTTAACTAGAACTTTTGCCAGAAAGATAGAAAAATATTACCCCGGTCTGAGTCAAGAACTATAGAAATAATAATTTCCGGAACATTTTTAAACAAAGGGGCATAACTACATAAAAATGTGAACTAACTCCAATTTGTATTCTTTATTTAAATCCTCTTCATTTTAGTGTGATGAGCATCATTTAAATCCATGCAGTACTAAGGAAGAATTATGCAAACAATGTTTTTATACAAAGAGGCAATTTTACTCCCTCTAAAGGTTAGGTTTCTCTAGTTCAAATACTTTATTTACATCATGACAATTAATATGTGTAGAAGTATCATTAAAATCAGTGCAATACTTAAAAGTAGCGTGATTTTTGTTTTAATTGGGATAACTCAATAAATAGAGCACCTATTACAAAAAAATGTACTCCTATTTGGATACTTTATTCACACCCCCATGATATAAGTGTCTATGTACTATTTGGATACTTTATTCACACCCCCATGATATAAGTGTCTATGTACTATTTGGATACTTTATTCACACCCCCATGATATAAGTGTCTATGTACTATTTGGATACTTTATTCACACCCCCATGATATAAGTGTCTATGTACTATTTGGATACTTTATTCACACCCCCATGATATAAGTGTCTATGTACTATTTGGATACTTTATTCACACCCCCATGATATAAGTGTCTATGTACTATTTGGATACTTTATTCACACCCCCATGATATAAGTGTCTATGTACTATTTGGATACTTTATTCACACCCCCATGATATAAGTGTCTATGTACTATTTGGATACTTTATTCACACCCCCATGATATAAGTGTCTATGTACTATTTGGATACTTTATTCACACACCATGATATAAGTGTCTATGTACTAAATATCATTCAAATGTGGTGCAGTACTTTTGAAGGAGTAATCATATTGTGTCTATAGAGAGACAATCTAATTTCACTATACCCCGCCCCTCCCCAAACTTTACCTACATATCCTCAACACAGTTAGATAGATGCTAGTCTTCATAAGATACTAAGTTTGAAGTTTTAAAATCTATGGCCTTGAAAGTAAGTCAAGGTCCTGTATTTTGGGGAAATTAAAATTGCACTCGATTCCAAGTAGCCACTGGCAAAATATCATGATCTGGTGTCTTTATGTTCTTAAGATTTTAATTTGTTTTCTCCATAATAGCCTATGTTGATCTTTGACCCAAGCCTGCTTTAAAAGCTGACATTAGGTACCATGCATACCAATTAAGATTCACCAATATTTCCAGTTTAATTTTAAAATAGTGGTAATTTAACAACAATTGTTTACAGTCGGACTTACTGCATGATGAACCACTGTTAAATAAAAAACAAAATTTGAACAACCCACCATCCAATGATAAAAAAGGACTACATTTTGAAACATCAAAGTCAACAATGCTGCAGTTCATACTTTTTCACCAGATAAAAAAGAAAATACAATTTCACAAAAAGACAATACATTTCTGTTTATTTCTTATAATATATAGAGTCTCTAAATGTAAGACTATCATCAAAATTACAATTTAAATGTAATTAGGAAAAGTCTACTACAATTTGATACATCCTCGATCTGCAATATCAATAATAATTCTCTTTCATTGTATAGTTAAACAAATTGGATAATTATTAGGTATCACTTTTGCAGTTACTTAAATCAATATATTTGGCATCAATATACAAAAAAATGAGGGAATCTTAAATACAAGTTTAATAACTATCATAAATCCCTGAATATAATGGGGGTTTTTTTATTAAAAATATTCCTTACCTTAATAGCAAAGTGAGTTAAACTTAAACTTTTACTCTTGCCGTAACAAATGTTCACTCACTGGCCTTTTAAAACCAATCTACAGTTTTAATAAAAATCCATCTATGTATAGACTTGGTACTGATAATGTTATACTAACCGGTACTGCAAACTAATTATACATTATGTAACATTTATATTCCTATTGACTTCTCAAAGTTATGTACCAGTAAAATATGTCTTAGAGTATGGTATATTATGGTATATGGTGTGTACACGTTGAGGAATGGCACAAGTATTGACAATAGTACAGAATCATACATTAACATATATATAATACATGTACTTGTGATCTCAGTTATTACTAGGGCTGTCACAATACATCAGAAAACAGGTATATCGCAATACACGGGTATATCGTATTGTACCGCAATACAGAGATGGAATATTGCTGTATCGCAATATTTTTAAAAAGCATATTTTTAAGTATTTGCTTGGTGTTTTAATTTGGCAAATTACTACAAACTCTAACAGATATGCCAATAAGCATTAAGCAGGCTTTTGATAGTTCAAATTTTGTAATCGATGGTTGGTTTGACAAAAATCTAAAATCTATGTAATCCATATCATATATGATTAAGTCTGATTACATTCTGACTACAACTTATTATAAAATATATCATTCTGTATTGAAATATATCGTGATACACTCTTGGCGTATTGTGACACCCTTAGTTTTTACTGTACATGCATCTAATTACGATATAAAAATTACTGTTCTGTCAGTCCAATGATATTTCCGTAACATCTTCTTTGATTTTCTAATGTCAGTGCTTATACCGCACAGTCAAATGTTCGGCTATAAAAACCTTGAAGAGGGTTGTATATACCACACAGTCAAATGTTAGGCTATTTAAAAAAAAAAAAAAAAGGAGGGGGGAGGGGGGGTATACCACACAGTCAAATGTTAGGCTATTAAAAACCTGGAAGGGGGTTGTGTATAATACAAAAAATGGGATTTTCATGACATCGATCTACAACCAAGATAAAAAAAATACTGTGCTTTGAACATGCACCAAACCATCCCCCTTAGTGTCTACTAATTACTGAGGACATAAGTTGTATTATTACAAACATATCAATAAAAGTTAAAAATTACTAAAATGATTTATTTAATCATCAAAATCAATATTGAGTATTATCAAAATTAATGCAGCGCCCATTCGTTTTTTAACCTCAAAACATATGGTTAATAAAACTTGACCAGGTTTCACCTGAATATATTTAATACTTTACATGTATTTGTGCTTAAGATTTGTGAATGTTTGTCAAAATAAGTAAAAGAAATAGAACATCCAGAAAAATACATCTAGCATTTGCAAAATATGAATAATTCATCATGTATTACTGTAGATTACCTCTAATCACCAGCACCTGATTGTCTGTACTTATTTCTAGTGACATTATATATATAGTTAATTCATGTTTCAACTGATGTAAATATCTCCTGTTGTGATAATTGTTCACATACCATATTTATCCAATAATAAGCCCATGCCTGTTAATAAGTCCACCCATATCTAATGCAGTTTAGTAGTAATGCAAACAAATGCTATTTCATTGTTCTGCAATAAGCCCATCCCCTTCACTGAGTCAGAGTTACATCCCCTTCACTGAGTCAGAGTTACATCCCCTTCACTGAGTCAGAGTTACATCCCCTTCACTGAGTCAGAGTTACATCCCCTTCACTGAGTCAGAGTTACATCCCCTTCACTGAGTCAGAGTTACATCCCCTTCACTGAGTCAGAGTTACATCCCCTTCACTGAGTCAGAGTTACATCCCCTTCACTGAGTCAGAGTTACATCCCCTTCACTGAGTCAGAGTTACATCCCCTTCACTGAGTCAGAGTTACATCCCCTTCACTGAGTCAGAGTTACATCCCCTTCACTGAGTCAGAGTTACATCCCCTTCACTGAGTCAGAGTTACATCCCCTTCACTGAGTCAGAGTTACATCCCCTTCACTGAGTCAGAGTTACATCCCCTTCACTGAGTCAGAGTTTGTATGCTGGCCCCTACGGCTTATTGTTGGATAAATCAGTTATATCTTAATGCACAATTAATAACATGAATAACACCAAACATATATGTCATGCAATGTAAGTAATTCTATACAGTATATACTTTATCTCATCTGATACACTATTTAAAACACATAACCCTGTACAGTAGAATTAAAAAAAAAAAAATTGAAGATGTTGAGTAGAGATTTGTTTTTGTGAACAGACATGTATCCCCTTCTTAGTCAATATTCTTAATTCCCCTTTTGCTGCAAACTAAAAATAATTGAATAAAGTAAAATAACTGTGTATCTACAATTTACTAAAATGACGGCTATACTCCTGTTATTAGAGGAATGGCCTATATGAATAAATGCAATTAAACAGCGATGATGCAGTAAATATCATTACCTAATATATTTTTTAAAATTAAAACTGAAAAGTTTGAACTTGTTTGACGTGGGACATTAAGGTCATTTGATTCAGACACACCTGTAATCCTCATTACACACACCCTGCAGTAACTAGGAGACCATTTGACCACTTGATGTAGATTTTGTGCTTGTGTGAGTTTGGACTTGAATGAGGGAGTTTCGAGGGGATTGGTAAATTTGGTAAAAATGAGGGAGTATCCCTCCTAATGAGGGAGGGTTGACATCTATGTCTGTGGGTGATGCAGATATATTTGCAAGATTTATTCAGATATATTTAACAGTTTAAAAGTCACAGATCATACCAGATGCTCCTGAAAAGTTCGCACTTATTTGACCTTTGACCTTGAGATCAAGGTCACAAGATACCTAATAACAATGTCCTTTTTTGAAAAGTTTTGGCAAAGATATATTTTGGGAGTTATATTATGCTGACAACTCTAACGGATATAACAGTCCATGACATAAAAAGTTATAATGTAGATATAATACAAATAGATTGTCATTTATGATACCGGTACATGGCATGACATACACACACACAAAATACAAATATACACATAGACATCTCAATATTATGTATGTATGTATTTGCTGGAAATATTTGAGGATCAAGTCATATGAAGCTAGCACTCATTTACAGTGATGCTCAACATCACTTATAGATGTATTTAGATTTCACCTGAAAATTGGACAGTCTGGATATAATAGAGGCTGCCAAGTGTGTTCAGGTAGGAAGGACAGAGAAATTCTATCCGAAGGTGTAGAAGTTTAGTGACTTCTGTGTTTTGCTGAGCTTCTGCGGTAAAATTATAAACCAAAGGTAAAATAATTGTTATTTTATCTCCCTTACCTACATAATGCCTGACTCATTTTCTCCCACCTCTTACCCTTGACTTCGGTAATACATGTAATTGGCAATGATACTACAATTAATGTATTGGACTTTTTATATAACATCTAAATTATTAACAAGGGACATATTTGGAAAGAGCATAAAAAAGTATTGAAACACAAAGGTCTACTTTAAAAATCAAGCAGTTTACAAATCACTTTACAAATTAAAAAAGATTATTCGTATATTTCCATGAGAGATGTTGCATACCAGCTGTGTTTTCATGGTAGATATTCCTACGTTGACCAAAATGTCAATTCAATAATGTTGGTTGTCTTATTTCACAAAGTAAGCCAATATGGTGCTGAACATTTTGAATTGAAACATTTTGTATGCACTTCCAAACTGCTGTCACCCATTGCTGTCGGATAGAGTTATCCCACATGGCTTGTCTACATGGGACACTGTCACATGTTACTCTATCCCTCATGGCTTGTCTACATGGGACACTGCCACATGTATCATACATTCTATCCCACATGGCTTGTCTACATGGGACGCTGTCACATGTATCATACATGTGCAAAAGAAGGATAGAGTTATCCCACCTGGCTTGTCTACATGGGACACTGTCACATGTATCATACACTCTATCCCCCATGGGTTGTCTACATGGGACACTGTCAAATGTATCATACATGTGCAAAAGAAGGATAGAGTTATCCCGCATGGGTTGTCTACATGGGACACTGTCACATGTATCAAACATGTGCAAAAGAAGGATAGAGTTATCCCACATGGGTTGTCTACATGGGACACTGTCACATGTAACATACATGTGCAAAAGTAGGATAGAGTTATCCCACATGGTTTGTCTACATGGGACACTGTCACATGTATCATACATGTGCAAAAGTAGGATAGAGTTATCCCACATGGCTTGTCTACATGGGACCCTGTCACATGTTACTCTATCCCACATGGCTTGTCTACATGGGACACTATCACATGTATCATACATGTGCAAAAGAAGGATAGAGGTATACCCCATGTGTTGTCTACATGGGACACTGTCACATGTATCATACATGTGCAAAAGTAGGATAGAGTTATCCCCCATGGGTTGTCTACATGGGACACTGTCAAATGTATCATACATGTGCAAAAGAAGGATAGAGTTATCCCACATGGGTTGTCTACATGGGACATTGTTACATGTATCATACATGTGCAAAAGTAGGATTGAGTTATCCAACATGGATTGTCTACATGGGACACTGTCACATGTTACTCTATCCCACATGGCTTGGCTACATGGGACACTGTTACATGTATCATACATGTGCAAAAGTAGGATTGAGTTATCCAACATGGATTGTCTACATGGGACACTGTCACATGTTACTCTATCCCTCATGGCTTGTCTACATGGGACACTGCCACATGTATCATACATTCTATCCCACATGGCTTATCTACATGGGACACTGTCACATGTTACTCTATCCCACATGGCTTGTCTACATGGGACACTGTCACATGTATCATACATGTGCAAAAGAAGGAGAAACATTTCATCCCACAAACTAAAGGTTTCTTCACTAATGAATCATTGAAAAAACTAGTGGGTAACACTGGACCTGATACATGTGATTTTCTAAATAAACCTGACCATTGTAGGAGGAAAAGGTCTCCAAACTTGTGATGGCTGGGTATCATGTTTATCTTAACTCTCACTAGTTAATTTTCAAATTGGAAGAGACACTCAGCAATCGGGCCGAATCCTCATGTCTTAACATTGAAAATTAACTTACCCAACTTGGATGAATATGAAAACCTACAATCTCTCACAGGGAAACTTCAAATTATATGTAAAACATTACAATTAATTTAGTAAAACATTGTTCGACAATCTGACAAATATTCTGGATTCCATTGTGAAAGACAATTTCCACAAAAACAAGTTCAATGGTAAGTGTGGATAAAGAGACTGTTTTTAATTTTGGGCCTTTAATCCTTGTTCCAATTCTGCCATTACACGAAGAACTAACTCTTCTTGGTAGGGTTGGGCTGCACACTGAATATTAACAGGGAGGCCTGTAGACCCGACATTGTCCTGTAAAACGAAACAGTAGATATAATTAACAGGGAAACTGTAGACCCGACATTGTCCTGTAAACCAAAACAGTAGATATAATTAACAGAGAAGCTGTAGACCCGACATTGTCCTGTAAACCAAAACAGTAGATAAAATTAACAGGGAAACTGTAGACCCGACATTGTCCTGTAAACCAAAACAGTAGATAAAATTAACAGGGAAACTGTAGACCCGACATTGTCCTGTAAACCAAAACAGTAGATAAAATTAACAGGGAAACTGTAGACCCGACATTGTCCTGTAAACCAAAACAGTAGATAAAATTAACAGGGAAACTGTAGACCCGACATTGTCCTGTAAACCAAAACAGTAGATAAAATTAACAGGGAAACTGTAGACCCGACATTGTCCTGTAAACCAAAACAGTAGATAAAATTAACAGGGAAACTGTAGACCCGACATTGTCCTGTAAACCAAAACAGTAGATATAATTAACAGGGAAACTGTAGACCCGACATTGTCCTGTAAACCAAAACAGTAGATATAATTAACAGGGAAACTGTAGACCCGACATTGTCCTGTAAACCAAAACAGTAGATATAATTAACAGGGAAGCTGTAGACCCGACATTGTCCTGTAAACCAAAACAGTAGATATAATTAACAGGGAAACTGTAGACCCGACATTGTCCTGTAAACCAAAACAGTAGATATAATTAACAGGGAAGCTGTAGACCCGACATTGTCCTGTAAACCAAAACAGTAGATATAATTAACAGGGAAGCTGTAGACCCGACATTGTCCTGTAAACCAAAACAGTAGATATAATTAACAGGGAAGCTGTAAAACCGACATTGTCCTGTAAACCAAAACGGTAGATATAATTAACAGGGAAGCTGTAGACCTGACATTGTCCTGTAAACCAAAAAAGTATATATAATTTACAGGGAAGCTGTAGACCTGACATTGTCCTGTAAACCAAAACAGTAGATATAATTAACAGGGAAGCTGTAGACCCGACATTGTCCTGTAAACCAAAAAAGTATATATAATTTACAGGGAAGCTGTAGACCTGACATTGTCCTGTAAAACAAAACAGTAGATATAATTTACAGGGAAGCTGTAGACCTGACATTGTCCTGTAAACCAAAACAGTAGATATAATTAACAGGGAAGCTGTAGACCCGACATTGTCCTGTAAAACGAAACAGTAGATATAATTAACAGGGAAACTGTAGAACCGACATTGTCCTATAAAACAAAACAGAAGATATAATTAACAGGGAAACTGTAGAACCGACATTGTCCTATAAAACAAAACAGAAGATACAATTACAGGGAGGCCTGTAGACCCAACATTGTCCTGTAAAATAAAACAGCAGATATAGTTACAGGGAGGCCTGTAGACCCGACATTGTCCTGTAAAATATAACAGTAGATATAATTAATAGGGAGGCATGTAGATCCGACATTGTCATGTAAAACAAAATATTGGATATATCATATTTACAAAATACAAACAAGAGGCCCAGAGGGCCTGTATAGCTCACCCGGATATTTAAGCAGTCAAAGCAAAATATTAAATAAATATTATACTGTACTACAAATATTACCAAATATTGGCTCAGTATGTTTCTCAGCAACACCCTTACCTAATTGGGTCCCATTCTCCTGTCCCCATTGGGATGGGGGCATGGTTTCTACAACATTGAATTATGTTAGGCCAAGAATACTCTATGTGAAGTTAGATTAAGATAAAGCAATAGGATAAAATAGGTAAAGGTCATTTCCATTCACAAACTTTGTTGGGCTCCATCTAAGGAAGCTACTTGTTAAATATCACGACTCCATGTCTTTCACTTCTTCAAGAGAAGCTGTTTGCACTCTTTGCAATATTTGACCCCTGTGACCTTGAAAGTAGGTTGAGGTATTTTTCAATAGCCAACTTTGTCGGGCTCCATCTGTGACAGTTATCAGCCAAGTATTATAATTTTATGCCTTTAGATTATTCTGGAGATGTAATTTGAAGTGTTTGACATATTTGGCCCCTGTGACCTTGATAGTAGGCTGAGGTCATTTTTATTCGCAAAAATTGTCGGGCTCAATCTCAAGAAGCAACCAGCCATATAATATGATTCTATGCATTTTGATTATTCAGAAGAAGTTGTTTGATAAGTTTGACATATTTGACCCCTGTGACCTTGAAAGTGTGTCAAGGTCATTTTCTTTCTCAAATTTTGTTGGGATTTTAACAACGAAGCTACCAGCCACACATTAAGATTCTATACCTTTCAGTTCTCCAGAAAAAGTCGTTTTAAGTAATAGACACTTTTGACCCCTGTGACCTTGAAAGTAGGTCAAGGTCATTTTCATTCTTAAACTTTATTGGGCTCCATCCCAGGAAGCCATCAGCCAAATATGAAGATTCTATACCTTTTAGTTCTTCAGAAGAAGTCGTTTTAAGTTTTAAGTTGACCGCTGTGACCTTGAAAGTAGGTCAAGGTTATTTTTGTTCTCAAACTTTGTCGGGCTTCTACCAACAAAGCTTTCAGCCAAATATTATGACTCTAGGCCTGTCCGTTCTTCAAAAGAAGTTGTTTAAAGGAAAAGTTGACGGACGAGGACGAACGACGGACGCTGCACCATGACATAAGCTCACTTGCCCTTTGGGCAGGTGAGCTAAAAACTCTTTGTATCAAAATGACCCCAATAAGTCAAAACCAGCAATAAAAAGAAAGTTTAATACATTGTATAAGAACTGAATGATTAAAACAAACTTCATATTTCATATAGAAAATCATTATCAGTTTAATGTACCTTTTTCATCGCTTTCTCATATGCTGTCTTACTAGGGTAATCAGCCATATTTGCTTCATCTTCACATGTTACCTTGGTAACTGGCATACTGCCTGTTGGGTAATTCAGCAGGTTGAACAATACCGTGTACGTAACGCCACCTAATGGAGAGAAAAGAAGTAAATATAATACAAAATAAAATGGGGTCACTCTAGTATAATTTCAACACATATTGAGGATCTGACTAGATTGACATTCATTATTTCCATAAACCATCCTATGCTCTTTATACCTACAGAAATAATTTGGTCGGAAGATCGCTCAAAGTTTTTTCCCCACCAAATACCACCTTTTTGGACACTTGGCTCTTAGTGGATATTTGTATCGGAATGTATCTCTAATACATGTATCAGTGTATCTACTGTGTCAAACCTGTCGTAGCGATCCTCTGTTTTTAGTGCCTCCTCCCTAATGTGACCTTATTGTTCCTCCCCTGCATTTTATTTTATAATTTATCTGTATTCAGTGACTTCCTGTCTAGGGTGACAAGATACCGATATTTTCTGTTTCAGTATATCTAGGACTGAAAGGCACCTTATCATTGACCAATTTACCCAAGGGTACATCTATATGTCATACATGAAGAGTATTGAAGGGTCGATGTATACAATCCCAGACATTAAGTATACAGAAAAAATAGACAAGTCCTACCCATGACATTAAACACGTTTCCACTACGAACAGCAGGGAAAGCAAAGCCAGGACAAATCAGTACATCCAGCTTGTTAGCTCTCCACCTCCTCAGCATCTGCTTCTTATAGGCCTGATAAATACCAGAGACAAACATTAAAACGACCCCATTAGCCAAGTGACACAATCTATGTTCCATCTGATGTTACATCTACTGTCATATATGCTGGGGTTTTTTTAACTTTAAGTACATTTGACCTCTGTTATGTCAGGTTATTTTAATACACCTGATAGCCCTTTCATTCAACAAGCTACATGATGAATATTTTGAATTGAATTCTCAGAACTCTGTAGAAAAAGTTGTTTAATTTACAAAACATTTATTTCCTGTTACCTTCAAAATGAGTTATGGTATTTTATTTGACCAAATATGCCAACTATATCCACCCTCACAAGCTACAGACCAAATATCATGTCTCTGAGTCTTGTGGTTTTAAGAAATTATCTGAGCAAGCCTTCACAACAGATGCTACACTATATAAATATTAAAACTAAAATTGTTATCAAACTTTTATTGGATCATGATTCCAAACTATTGATAAAATGTTATCAAATCAATGTGAATACCTCATTTCTTTCTGCAATCTTCCAGTATTTGCCAACAGACCTGTAAAAATCAGATAATCATACTTATTTATCATAAAGTATCCTGTGGTATGGGCCATTTTGCATATGCAACACTGCTAGATGTACATATTCCATATCTGGGCCTGATCCATTTCTTTCCTGCACATGCCATATCTGATGCAACTGTGTACAATCTGATTAAAAGTTGACCATATACTAGGATATGAAAATGGCCATATCAAAACCATCTAAAAAAAAGTACAACAAAACCAAGTATTAACCCTTAAGTGAATGTCCCATCATTTTTACCCTAAACCTTTCACAATCACCCTAGACCCCTCATACTCGCTATGATTCCCTCATACTCATCCTGGATCCCTCATACTCACCTTTGACCCCTCATACTCATCCTTGAGACCCCTCATACTTATTCTGGACCCCTCATACCCACTATAATGCCCTCATACTTACCAAAGACCCATCAAACTCACCTTGGACCCCTGGTACTCACCCTGGACCCCTCATACTCACCCCAGACCTTCATACATACTTACAATAGACCCCTCAAACACACCATAAACCCTTCATACTCATACTTCAACCCTAATACTCATTCTGATCCCCTTAAACACCCTAGACTCCTCATACTCACCCTAGACCCCTCATACTCACCCTAGACCCCTCATACTCATCATTGGGACCCCTCATATTCACACTGATCCCTTCTTACACATCCTTGATACCCATTATACTCATCCTTGGGACCCCTCATACTCATCCTGGAACCTTCATACTCACTCTGGACCCCTCATACACATAGTTACCCTGGACCCCTCATACTCATCCTGGATGCCTCATATATATATACTCACCCTGGACCCCTCATACTCACTCTGGACCCCTAATACTCACCCTGAACCCCTCATATTTATCCTTGATACCCCTCATATTCACCCTTAACCACTCCTATTCATCATTGAGACCCCTCATATTCACCCTGAACCCCTCATATTCATCCTTGATACCTTTCATACTCATCCTTGAGACCCCTCATACTCACACTGGATCCCTCTTCCACATCGATCCTTAATACCCCTTATACTCATCCTTGAGACCCCCGCATACTTACCCTGGACCCCTCATACTCATCCTTGAGACCACTCATATTCACCCTGGACCCCTCATACTCACACTGGATCCCTCTTACACATCCTTGTTACCCCTTATACTCATCCATGAGACCCCTCATACTCACACTGGATCCCTCTTATACATCCATGAGACCCCTGCATACTTACCCTGGACCTCTCATACTCTTTGACAATATGTACATCATTTTGTCCTGAAAAAGAAATAGGAAGTTATTGCAATTTAGATGATCTACATCCTTTGAAAATATTTTCCCTAAACTTGTTTAAACTATTAATCTTTTAAACATCCTTATCCTGGTATACATTTGTTAATCATCTTTCATCATAAATTGGTTTGAAAAAATAACAAGGAGACGCCGTCATCAATATCCACCGCTCATAGTGTACAAGTCAATATCCACCGCTCCTAGTGTACAAGTCAATATCCACCGCTCCTAGTGTACAAGTCAATATCCAACGCTCATAATGTACAAGTCAATATCCACCGCTCATAGTGTACAAGTCAATATCCACCGCTCATAGTGTACAAGTCAATATCCACCGCTCATAGTGTACAAGTCAATATCCACCGCTCATAGTGTACAAGTCAATATCCACCGCTCATAGTGTACAAGTCAATATAAAAATTGCATTAAGATGCATTAATCATGAAAGTATTGCAGCCCGTATTCATAGACAATACCAATTCTTTTTAACCTGTATAATATAAATGTGACCTATTTGTCTTAACCAAGTCACTGAACCATAAAATGTATAAAGGTTTTCAAAATTAGCAAGACAGAAGTTATAAAGAAGTAGAAATGGTCAACATTTATTTACCGTGTTCTAGCGAGCTTCGGACAAGATTTTGGTTAAAACCAGATCAGCCAAAAAAGTTGATAGACTTTGGGCTGAATGAGATGAAAATTGGAAAAGGGGAGAGTGGGGTGGGAGTATCAGTATGATGATAGCTTATATTTCAGGTATGTAGTATCAATATCTTTTTGTCTCCTTGAGAACCATGGGCCTCAACGGTCACCTTAGTCATACAGTATTTATTTTTGTTGTTGAAATATGAAGTGGAGATAATGATGTCAATCATCCCTACCAATTTGGTTAAAAAAAAGTTAAGTATAACGTTAAGTTAAGTTTGTCAGAACCATGAGTTGATCATTCCTAGACAGAGTTTCAGTTAAATCGACCCATTAGAACTTGATTTAAACTTTGAAATATATTGTATTTTCTAAATGGCTGCTGTGGCGGCCATATTGGATTTTAATCGGCCTCAAATTGCCAAGACCATGAGTCCTATCAAGTTTCAGTTCAATTGGCCCAGTAGAACTTTACTCTAAGTTTGAAATAGTTTTTCAAAATGGCATCCGTGGTGGCCATATTGGTTTTCTGATCAACCCGAAAAATGACAACACTTTGTCAGGACCATGAGTCGATCATTCCTACTACGTTTCAGTTCAATCGTCCTGGTAGAACATGACTTTAAGTTTGAAATAGTTTTTCAAAATGGCCGCCATATTGGATTTCTGATCAACCCAAAAAATAACAACACTTGGTCAAGGAGATGTCAGTAACATTCCCATGAAGAATCAATGACATCCCTTCGCCAGTATTTCAGCTTAAGTTGAAAATGTTAAAGGACGACGGACAGCGACGGACAGCAATGGGTCAGCTGACCTAAAAAGTCCAGTATTGACACTGATGACAATAATCTCGACACAGATTTCAATGAATATCACTGAAAAATCTCGCTTATAAATATTGCTAAATATTTACCATATATCTGATCAGGAAATCAGTAAAACATAGCAGTAATTTTAATATTTTATTTCTACCTTCCATTCATTGATGAGTATACATAACTTCTGTGAAAGATTAAAACAGGAGTTTTCCCCTCCCATTTTATTTTCAGTCTTAAGGGTCAAAACATGTATAAATAACCAGTATAAATGTATGATTATAAACAGTTATCAATACCATTACGTATACTCGGGTAAATTCAACACATCACTTATTTGTTTCAAAAGTACAGAAAGTGAAAATTTGGTGAGGTGAAAATATTATGTTTACAGTTATAATACCCGAACACTTACACGACCAAACTTGGACAAAACCCAGCCAAGAAATAAATTCAGCCATCTGGGCAGGATGAGGCCCATATGGGCCAGTTTTAGCGCAGGATCAACCAAATCATCCTTTCTGTAACAATGCACAAATAAATCAAATTAAAATTCAATTCATTAAACATGTTATTTGAGTATCAGAATAAAAATTAAATACCACTTTAACACAATTTTTTTTTACATTTGATGTTTCGTCTGGGTGTTTTAACTTTTCAAATTTCTAAACTGAATAACAGATATGCCAACTGCCATAAACAGCTTCTATTACTAGTGGTGGAAATTAGTTGAAATATTGTGACGGATGGTTGTCACTAAGAAAATGTTAAATCTGTGTGGTCCGTAAGATATATAAATCAGTTTGATAACATTCTGAAGACAATTTCTTTTTAAATTGAGCACCTTTTCCTCTGAAAATATATTGGGATAGTCATCTTACATATCACAGTGCATTCCTTCAGTAATATATTGTGATGTATTTCAGGTGTACAGAGACATATCTATTGTGATGTATTCCAGGTGTACAAATACATATCTATTGTGATGTATTCCAGGTTTACAGAGACACATCTATTGTGATGTATTCTAGGTGTACAGAGACATATCTATTATATATTGTGATGTATTCCAGGGGTACAGAGACACATCTATTGTGATGGATTCCAGGTGTACAGAGACACATCTATGTGATTTATTCCAGGTGTACAGAGACATTTCTATTGAGATGTATTCCAGGTGTACAGATACATATCTATTGTGATGTATTGCAGGTGTACAGAGACATTTCTATTGTGATGTATTCCAGGTTTACAGAGACATATCTATTGTGGGGTATTCCAGGTGTACAGAGACACATCTATGTGATTTATTCCAGGTGTACAGAGACACATCTATGTGATGTATTCCAGGGGTACAGAGACACATCTATTGTGATGGATTCCAGGTGTACAGAGACACATCTCTTGTGATGTATTCCAGGTGTAGATGTATTCCAGGTGGACAGAGACATATCTATGTGATTCATTACAGGTGTACAGAGACATATCGTGTACAGAGACATATCTATTTTGATGTATTACAGGTGTACAGAGACATTTCTATTGTGATGTATTCCAGGTGTAGATGTATTCCAGGTGGACAGAGACATATCTATTGTGTTGTATTACAGGTGTACAGAGACATTTCTATTGTGATGTATTCCAGGAGTACAGAGACATATTTATTGTGATGTATTCCAGGTGGACAGAGACATATCTATTGTGTTGTATTCCAGGTATACAGAGACATATCTATGTGAGGCATTACAGGTGTACAGAGACATATCGTGTACAGAGACATATCTATTGGGATGTATTACAGGGGTACAGAGACATAACTATTGTGATGTATTACAGGTGTACAGAGACATATATATATGTCTCTGTACACCTGTAATAAATCACAATAGATATGTCTCTGAATACCTGCAATACATCACAATAGATATGTCTATGAACACCTGGAATACATCACAATAGAAATGTCTCTGTACATCTGTAATACATCACAATAGATATGTATTCCAGGTGTACAGAGCCATATCTATTGTGATGTATTCCAGGTATGTATTCCAGGTGTACAGAGACATATCTATTGTGCTGTATTCCAGGTGTACAGAGACATATCTATGTGATGCATTACAGGTGTACAGAGACATATCTATTGTGATGTATTACAGGTGTACAGAGACATTTCTATTGTGATGTATTCCAGGTGTACAGATACATATCTATTGTGATGTATTCCAGGTGTACAGAGACATATATATTGTGATGTATTCCAGGTGTACAGAGACATATCTATTCAGATGTATTCCAGGTGTACAGACACATATCTATGTGATGTATTCCAGGTGTACAGAGACATATCTATTCAGATGTATTCCAGGTGGACAGACACATATCTATGTGATGTATTCCAGGTGTACAGAGACATGTCTATTCAGATGTATTCCAGGTGTACAGAGACATATCTATTCAGATGTATTCCAGGTGTACAGACACATATCTATGTGATGTATTCCTGGTGTACAGAGACATATCTATTCAGATGTATTCCAGGTGTACAGAGCCATATCTATTGTGATGTATTCCAGGTGTACAGAGACATCTCTATTGTGATGTATTACAGGTGTACAGAGACATACCTATTGTGATTTATTCCAGGTGTACAGATACACATCTATGTGATGTATTACAGGTGTGCAGAGACATATCTATTGTGATGTATTCCAGGTGTACAGAGACACATCTCTTGTGATGTATTCCAGGTGTACAGAGACATATCTATTGTGATGTATTACAGGTGTACAGAGACATACCTATTGTGATGTATTCCAGGTGTACAGATACACATCTATGTGATGTATTACAGGTGTACAGAGACATATCTATTGTGATGTATTCCAGGTGTACAGAGACATATCTATTGTGATGCATTACAGGTGTACAGACACATATCTATTGCTATTCAATACATCAAAATAAAGTTCCGAGACTGCACTGTACATCGGCAAATTAAAACAGGCAAATTTTTCATAATGTTCCAGAACCAAACGACCGACCACCTTTTCCAATATAGTTCGGTAATCAAATATTAAATTCATTTTTTCTTAAATAATTTATTTACTGCATTTTGTATATGCTTTGTCCTTTAAATGACATTGGCAGAACAGCCCTATTTAAATAATATTGGCGCCAATAGTTGACCGTAGTCATTTGAGCATTTGACGACAGGGACTTTCTCTATGTTATCCAAAGCAAAACGACAAGACTCATTGAACAAGATGAATCAATGACGTCATAAGTAAACCATGCGTTCCGTCACACGATTTTTGCTTTCATACTCAAATGAAATGCATCTCTGCTGGTAATGTTCATATAGTGGTTTACGCAAATGTAAATATATACTTAAATAGTGTCAATCCCCCACCATCTAAAAACATGGAAAATAATAATAACAAGGTGTCAAGATTCTCCCTGCCTCAAACACAGACAGGAGTTACATATACTTACAAAGCTTCTATAAATGATTCTCCCCCATCCCCAAATGTAGACAAGAGGAATAGCTCAAAGCACGCATACATGTCTGGAGGATCAAATTTGACAATCTGTAACAAAACAGCATGTGTTTGTAGAATTTCTCATTTGCATTTAATAAAAATAAATCAACAATTTATAACAAAATGTGACATATAGACAGTTTACAGTTTCTTGTGTCTTACAATATTCATTCACCCCCGAAATATCATAATGAGTTAAACTATTTCAACCTTTGAATTGGAGGAGTTCAAATGTGTTTTAGGGGCGATTGAGTTAACCCTTTCACCACTGAAGACCATAATAGACTCATCCAGATCAATGTATGGTAGAGTCTACTAAAGTTACCTAGGAGTGAAAGGGTTAAGGACTGTAGAAGCAGTGTCACAACAATAGCTGGATGCTTTTTATGAAAGTCACTACATTAGTGTCTGCTAAAGACAAACACTGAAAACTTTGAACGTATGTTCCTATAGTTTTCAAACCTTTGTGTATAAATACCTCTGACAGCACCTGTATCTCTTGAAAGATTTAAACTCATGATTTAATTCTATCCAATTTTATTTCTGCTTTGTCAACTCACAGTGTGACCTCTGGTTTGTAAAACTTCTGTCGCCAAGGAAACAGCTCGTTGACAGGCTGGGACTGGTGTTATATATCCATTGTCCAGGAAGTACCCGATTCGCAATGGTCTCTTACTTTCAAAAATCTAAAAAAAGTCATGTCACCGATTTTATTTCAAAAGCTTGTAAGTTGTGTCAGAGTTGAAAGAAATATGCAACAGATTAGATCAGAATTAAAATTAAATCATTGCTTTTTCATGAAATATATATATATGTATGCATCATTGTAAAATTACATCCGGGAGAGTCAGTTATACCTCATTTCTAAACTCGATTGGAGGACATGTCGGATCTTGTTCAAACATAGCTGGGACGAGGAGTGATTTCATCACAGCCACCAGACCGCCCATGTCACTGGCTAGAGGCCCGGCTGCTGCCTGTACTGTTCACACAGAGAGGGGTCAATTAGGTTGTGTGCCCAAGTAATGTACATGTTTTAGATACAGGCATGCTCCTGAAAGTTTCATTTTGGAACCACACTACCTATCTTTTATATGTTTAACAATGTGTGTGTTTTAACAGTGTCATAGATTTGCATGCTTGTTATGTTTTAAATAATGCTACCTTCGTTTTTATTTGTCATATAGTCGGTTGTAAAAGCCTTCCATAGGCTTGTGTTGCCTTGTTTAACCATGTACCGATTTATAAATAAAATTTACTTGATTTGACATGAAGTATCATTTATACAGTTTTGTATTGAACTATGTCCTGAAAATGATTGCTGACTCTAGATCTTCAGTATTAACCTACAAGTGTTCAAAATTCCATCTATCAAGTCTTGGGTCTCCTTCGCGTATCTGATTCAACCGGTTTGTCTGTTTTTAAATGCGACATTTTCAGGTATAAGTCCTGGTGAACCTGCCAAAGAGTATGCAGTCCTTGCCCAGCTTTGCCATGGCTCGCTTGAAAGCAGTATCACACTATTAGGTCCGACCTTACTTCAACCATTTGGATTGCGATAAATGAATGAGGCCTTGATTAGTACAAGATACAAATAGTAAGCAGTAGATCTAAAGATTACTTCCCCGGTATTCCCCTTATTTTAGTAAGCATTTTTGGGACAAATTCCTTTTATTCTATACTACATGATATTATAATGTTCAAAGTTTCCCTGCCATATTTATCTGGGATTAAGGTGGCTGGATCAATGAGCCTGCATGGTAAGAGACATAAAACACAACCTAATGTGAAGTATCATGATACTGAGCACTTGTGTCATTGAAATTACACTGATAATTTGGTTAGTAGGTCGATGACAAATGCTTTTTATTTATAGTAACATTAACCTTGACCTTTGACTCCTGGAACACAAACTAAATACTTACCCAGGGTCTGACCACTTTGGAACGGCAGCATATTCTTTTTACTGCAATAAATGAACTGAATGTTTACAAGTTATCATGATGGTTACACATCTTAAACTGTTAAAGCTCTCAAATGGTATCTTACTTACCCATCAGACTATACCTGACCAGCATTCGATAATGTTCGTTTTGTATAAACATTTGTGGTTTTCGTGGTTTTCGTGGTTGCTATTGAACCACAAATATAAATACAATGAATTTGAATGATATACGCGTCTACTGTTTGTTACTATAGGATATCCACGTGTCTACTGTTTGGTACTATAAGATATCCACGTGTCTACTGTTTGTTACTATAAGATATCCCCGTGTCTACTGTTTGTTACTATAGGATATCCATGTGTCTACTGTTTGTTAATATAGGATATCCACATGTCTACTGTTTGTTACTATAAGATATCCACGTGTCTCCTGTTTGTTACTATAGGATATCCATGTGTCTACTGTGTGTTACTATAGGATATCCACATGTCTACTGTTTGTTACTACAGGATATCCACGTGCCTACTGTTTGTTACTATAGGATATCCACATGTCTACTGTTTGTTACTATAGGATATCAACGTGTCTACTGTTTGTTACTATAGGATATCCATGTGTCTACTGTGTGTTACTATAGGATATCCACATGTCTACTGTTTGTTACTATAGGATATCCACGTATCTACTGTTCGTTACTATAGGATATCCATGTGTCTACTGTTCGTTACTATAGGATATCCACAGAGGTTTGTACCACTAAACGATCTAAATGGCTTCAAAACGAAGGACAGCACCCACAAAAATTTCGTGTTATACAGAATAGTTGCATACCTTGTGAGAGAACCAATCCATCAATGAACTAATCTGTTAAAAGCCCTGAATACGATGAACTTTGTTCAATAAGTACTGTTACATTTTTGTTTGATGGTAGGTGATCTCATCTTTGGTTTTTACCTTATTCGGCCTACAGTTGGTTTAAGCCCATACACACCACAGAAGTGGCTTGGTATACGGATGCTGCCCCCAATGTCAGTTCCAAACCCTAAGATAGACCCTTTGGCCGCTATGAGTGCTGCCTCCCCTCCAGAAGATCCCCCTGGGCCTCGGGTGACGTCGTGAGGGTTCTTAGTCTGGCCGTAGATAGGGTTGGAGCATTCGTACGTCATCATTGACTGTGGAATGTTTGTCCTCACAAATGGAATGGCACCTTGTTTCTTTAGAATCTGTGTACAGAATTATAACATTAATGCTACAAACATCTTAATTCAAGCTTGCCTCTGATTGGCTCCTGTAAACTCACTCACAATACTGTAATGATAAGCTGACACTTCTTTTTTTAATAAGGGATTGGTATTGCAAGCAATTTTTGTATTGCGACACAATAGATTCATAGCATTTATTCCTACAACAATGTTTGGCAACATAAGGGAACTTACAAACACTTTACATAACCTAACTTAGAATTTTAAAGTCTCAACGATGTGGCATAGGCCCTGAGAACAATTTGCATGCACTACTAATAGTGTCAGTATATGGTAAATAATATTGAATTTCTATATAATATAGGGCTGTATAAACTGTGTGAGAGCGCCTATGTAGTATGTAGTAATATATGGTCAATAATATTGAATGTCTATATACAATAGGGCTGTATAAAATGTGTGAAAGCGCCTGTGTAGTATGTAGTAATTCTGGTGGAGCCCGTGGTGGAACAGAGCCGAAGGTAGATTCTAGTTGATGTCAAGTTAACAGGTTTATTAGGTGCCACGAATTAGCTGGGCTGTGGAACTACCGCTACATGCTATACATGCTACAGCTCCCACTGAGAAAGGGGGCAGGAGCTACAGTTCATACTGAGAAAGGGGGCAGGAGCTACAGTTCATACTGAGAAAGGGGGCAGGAGCTACATTTTATACTGAGGTGATAAGGCCCAAATGAATTATGTGCAGCATATGAGAGCCCCTGTTATCGTTATGCATTGTCATTTAAATATCATATTGCAATATTGTACATATATTGCTTGACAAATAACGCAATTTATTGCTTACTCAACAACAGATACCTGCTTACTTGACGGGGCAGCAATACTTGACATCTGCTTACCTTTATGAGGGTGTTCTCCTCAGTGACACAATCATCCAGATAGATGGACATCCCACCAGTACAGTCATACCCCTGCAAAAGGGAGATAGTTAGAACCAATTTATTTATCATATTTAACAGTTATATATATTCAAATAGAGCCACATGGAACCTGTACAGATCACCAGCATTTCCTATGTCATGAAGAAAATAATAAAATCTGTCAGTAAAAATTTTGATTCTCTTAGACACTTGTAATATATACCTGTAAGTAATAGTTCACCTTGACATGTACTGGCATGACCTTGACATAGACAAGTATGACCTACCTCCAACTAACACTGTGGTTCTCCTTGAAACTGATAAGTATGTCTTTGTCACTGTCAGGTATAACATTGATATTGACATGTACTACATTAACACTGACAGGTATGACCTTAACACTGAAAGGTATGACCTTAACACTGACAGGTATGACCTTAACACTGACAGGTATGACCTTAACACCGACAGTTATGACCTTAACACTGACAGGTATGACCTTAACACTGACAGGTTTGACCTTAACACCGACAGTTATGACCTTAACACTGACAGTTATGACCTTGACACTGACAAATATGACCTTGATACAAACATATATGACAAAGAAACACACAGGTATGACCTTGACACTGACAGCTATGACCTTGACACTGACAGCTATGCCCTTGACACTGACAGCTATGACCTTGACACTGACAGCTGTGACCTTGACACTGACAGCTATGACACTGACACTGACAGGTATGGCCTTGAATATTACTGTAAACACCTAGACACTGACAGCTATGACCTTGACACTGACAGCTTTGACTCTGACACTGACAGGTATGGCCTTGACACTGACAGGGATGACATTGACACTGACAGCTATGACTTTGACACTGACAGCTATGACCCTGACACTTACAAGTATGGCCTTGACACTGACAGCTATGGTCTTGATACTGACAGGTATGACCTAGACACAAACACTGAAACAAACAGGAATTACCTTGACACTGACAGGTGTGACCTTGACATTGGCAAGTATGACCTACCTCTAGGTAATAGTTCTCCTTGACACTGATGGGTATACCATGGAGATATCCTTTCTTGCCAGTTTTCATATCCATCTCCAAAGCTAATACCTGTAATATTTAAATTAATCAAAATCTCACATAAAAAACGATTGATATTGTAGTACTGTTTTACTAATTAAAAGCCTCATAAACAAGATTAATAGCAAATTTCCCTACAATAGCAACACTCCATAACAAAAAGATTATACCAATGACTATGCTAACATTGAACAATCTTTCAATATATCAATATGCATTTAATTGCTTTCAGTTGGCAATCATAGCAAATATTAATGCTGCCAGAATAAAATGAAACTTCCATGAAGTGCATGAACACTTCATGTAAAATGTTCCTGTTCTACTGATGACAATGTTTTCCCTATGAGTGCCAACTAAAACCAGTTCAATACACTTATTCTCATAATAACTTAAGCAAGTACCCTGTTTTCATTACGGAAGTGGAATCATTAATCTTCTCCTTTGATAGGCAATACACCATTTTTTGTTATTGATTGTTTTACAGTATTTCTGGTTCTCATATCATACTATGGCATTCATAGTTCTATGATTGCCAAAGAAATTAATTACAGTTATTTAATGGTAAATCCTATTCACTGAATATCTAACAGTGGTATATAGCCACTGTCAGGGGTTCACAAAAGGAAATACATAGGGTAAGAAAGTAATGACGTAGGATAAATCTCTCAGTTGTGTTAGATAAGTAATAGAAAGCACCTTGTCTAAGGTCTCCGGATCTCCATAGACAAAGCTTTCAAAATATTTATTCATCATAAACTGGAGATTTATCTTATACAGATTTTTGGATATTACCCGTACATACCTCTGCCTCCCATATCGGCTCAACAACACAATTCAGGTGTTCATTGACTTGAATTGCCTGGAAATAACGCAAAACATTCTTGTACACATTTCTGATCAACAGCAAAGAACAAATTAGTATGCAACAATTAAATTATGCTAAAGTAAATAAACAATTGATGTATCATTCGGGTGAAGCCTTTGGAACACAAAGTAGGGAGATTAGATTTTTAGTACAGATAATTTTTTGTGGCACGCATCGCAGCGTGACGATGTTTCTTTAAAAATTGTCAATATTTACTACATATTTTTAGGGAACGAACAGCATGTATGTTTCCAATCTTCTATTTAACAATATTACCTCATCAGGACATTGGTGGGGTTTTACAAAAAATCACGTATAATAGAGATATCAACAAAAGCAATACCAATATTATCCAACAAATATGACAGTATTTAGTTGAGAGACATTGTTAAATGTTTGTTTAATAAATATGACATTTATTCTATTAGTGATATAAGTTGAACATTATTCATTATATAAAATCAGTCAACACCTTATCATAAATGTAGGCAACGTAGTTGACACAAATCCACTTAGCTGATTTTTTTTTGATTTTAAATAACTGAAATTACAAATATTTTCAAAGTCTATTATAGTTATTCAACATAATCTTGTTATTATGCTGATGCTTTTTAGCCAAGTTTCAATTAAAACATCTGCCAAGTACTGTCATGGTGGAGGGAATCACTTATAAAGCTAACAAGACATAAATATTGCTTTAAAATGCCTGAGGATAACTCGTTTGTTTTCCTGATCTTTGTTCCATATCCTCATCAGGACTACTTGTTTAATTTCAGCTACAAGTGTTAAAATAATTCTGAAGACAAGTTCACCCTCTATTACAAATAATCACTGAACAGTGGCCTCAAACATCTCTAACAAGTAGTGTAGGCGACACTGAATCAATGTCTGATGTGATCGCGTCTTGTTCGATTAGTCTGAATTTATCCTTCGTTTGAATTACCAGGATTGAGATAAGAAAACTTTTGAAACACCTAGACAATATTACTGTAAACACCTAGATAATATTACTGTAAACACTTAGATAATATTACTGTAAACACTTAGATAATATTACTGTAAACACCTAGATAATATTACTGTAAACACCTAGATAATATTATTGTAAACACCTAGATAATATTACTGTAAACACCTAGATAATATTACTGTAAACACCTAGATAATATTATTGTAAAAACCTAGATAATATTATTGTAAACACCCAAATAATATTACTGTAAACACCTAGATAATATTACTGTAAACACCTAGATAATATTACTGTAAACACCTAGATAATATCACTGTTAAAACTTAGCTTGTTAATCCAATTAGTCAGGCATATTACTCATATCGGTGGCTCAGTGGAGACAGGTTTTGCCCTGCAGCATTGACAATTATCTGAAGTTTGGAGCGACAAAATGGGTAACAGAAATTCATTATGCCAGTCTGATGATTGTCGGGAGATTTTCAAAGTAACACCGGAAGAAACGGGAGAGGGATGTTTCGGGAGACTCCCGGGTATATTGGGAGATATAATATGGATCACATAAATAAAATAATGTGTAAGTACAGACTGAATCTATAAGGGGTTCTTCAGATGTTGCATATTACCTTTTTAATTAAAGAGTAATCAAGCATGACCTTCAATCATTTAACTTTTACCAATGACTACCAAAACTAACCAGGTGTTAAGTTTATGTTACCATACTATGGTGTGAATATAAACTTATCTGGTTAAGGTGTCCATGAGATATCTAATACACAAGTTTTAAAGTAGAAATAGGCCATATAAACAACTGTTAAAGTGGATAGATCACACCATATATTTGGATAGCTCACATGAACATGGATAGGTCACATGACCTTAGAAGGGCACTTGACTATTACCTTTGACTGGTAGGCATGCAGCACATCAACACACCGAAGATCACCCTTCTGTAACTTCAGTCTTAATTCCTCAAATGACAGTTCCAAGATTGCATTCCTTTCAGCCAATGTCAGCTACAGAACAAAATAGAACTGTTAGTCAAAGGCTAAACTAATACCGCCCGCTGCTATATAAACCAGAACTGTAAGCTAAAGGCTTACTAATACCCCCCGCTGCTATATAAACAAGAACTGTAACCTAAAGGCTAGTCTGCTGGATAACCGAAATATGCGGTATTGAAGCGGACGTAAAACCTCTCAATCAATCAATCAATCAGATAAAGGCTAACTAATACCCCCCGCTGTTATATAAACCAGAACTGTAAGCCAAAGGCTAACTAATACCCTCCGCTGCTATATAAACCAGAACTGTAAGCTAAAGGCTAACTAATACCCCCCGCTGCTATATAAACCAGAACTGTAAGCTAAAGGCTAACAAATACCCCCAGCTGCTATATAAACCAGAACTGTAACCTAAAGGCTAGTCTGCTGGATAACCGAAATATGCGGTATTGAAGCGGACGTAAAACCTCTCAAACAATCAATCAATCAGATAAAGGCTAACTAATACCCCCCGCTGTTATATAAACCAGAACTGTAAGCCAAAGGCTAACTAATACCCCCCGCTGCTATATAAACCAGAACTGTAAGCTAAAGGCTAACAAATACCCCCGCTCCTATATAAACCAGAACTGTAAGCTAAAAGCTAACTAAGGCAAAGCATTGCAAAGTAATCCATAGTCTCCCACCAGTAATAATTTCTTTATTGACTGAGCTGTACACTTATTTCAGTATACTGGTCACTGACATACTTCATGTACTCTTCCCCATGCCTAAACATACTTACATGCCAAATCTTGTTAGCCCAGATAAACAAGTTTTGCTAAAATTGTCCTATTCCGTCTTTGCGTATTGCAGAGTTATCTTCGCTTGGGAGCAGGTATTGAATGTTGCGTCACTTGTTTGTGAGAGTAACGTCATCAATTTTTGAGAAAACGACGTAATTTTCTCACACAAACCAATGACGTAACAATCAATACCTGCTCCCAAGAGAGGATAACTCTGCAATACGCAAAGACGGAATTAGTTAAGGAAAAGATGTCAGGACAAAGATTTTTAACAAAGAGCCATAACTCCTTAAAAAGAGTTGAAATGAAAAAAAAAATACTAGCCTGATGCACGACATCAGGGGGTAATTACAATATCTGTAATCTCTTTCATTGAAATCGGCCCAGTAGTTTATGAGGCAGACAAAGGTTTATTCAACAAAGGGTCATAACTCCTTTTAAAAGGATTGGAATGAAAAGTACTACTGGGATGCACAACGTCAGGGGCAGTTACCATATCTGTAAAAAAAAATGAAATTGGCCCAGTAGATTAGGAAAAGTTGTCAGGACAAGAATTCTTCAACAAAGGGCCATAACTCCATAAAAAAAAGGTTGAAACAAAAAGTACCTGGATGCACAACATAAGGGAGTAGTTATCATATCTGAAAACTTTCGTTGAAATTTGCCTCATAGTCATGGAGGAGTTGTCAGGACAAGAATTTGCCACATAGTCTTGGAGGAGTTGTCAGGACAAGAATTTGCCACATAGTCTTGGAAGAGTTGTCAGGACAAGAATTCTTCAACAAAGGGCCATAACTCCATAAAAACTGGAGTGTGACACTGTGTTGTACCCCAGGTTTCAGACAACCAGGTACATATGATATGAATTGAAACATATTCTTTATGCCTACCCTTGTTTTTTTTGTCAATTTTCAATGAAGAACGGCTAAGTTAAGATTAATTACTCTCCTTTATCAACCTTACAACATATTTTGGCAATCATGGGAAAATGTTCTCAACAAAAGTAACTTTGAAAATCTTTGCATATATTAAGTTTCCCTGGCTTAAGAATGTTCCATCCTAATGATTGAGATCAGTTAACGGTACTTAACTATTTTTCTCTGGTTACCTCTGTTAACCCCTGTCCTGCTGTACTCTGGGGAGACAGACCCTCTGTTTGAAATCGCTACATATCATAATACCTTGGGCTTCAAGGTTGTTCTTTTTCTTTTTGACAATTTGACACCTGACCCTTGTGACAATGGAAGTAGGTCAAGGTCTTTCTTTTATGGAACTTTGTACTATTCTTTCCCAGGATGCTATTGGCCAAATATCCTTCCCTTGCATTGCATTCTTCATTATTAAGAAGATGTTTAATGATTTTTACACACTTGACCTCTGTGACCTTTTATAAGTAGGTCAATGTCATTTACTGCAGGAGTTTCTATACTTCGAATTCTTTATCCCAGCTTGCTACTGGTCAAATATCATCACTCAGGATTTCCTGGTTATGCAGCAGATGTTGTTAAGGTGGGTTTTTTTTTTTTAAATATTTGACCCCTGTGACCTAAGAATTAGGGCAAGTCATTTATTTGTGGAACCTTATAGCACTCTATGCCAGGTACCTATTGGCCAAGTATCATCACTCTGGGCCTTCTGATTAGTCAGAAGGTTTTTACATATCTGACCCCTGTGACCCCTTAAGTTCTTAAGAAGCAGTTATTCAAAGAAAAGTTGACGGACAACAGATGACACACTATACAATGCATAGAGCTCACCTGAAAATGTATTACTACCTATCTACCTTATTATTTTCAGACATGAATCAGGAAACAAACATAATTTAACTTTGGCCTATAACCACAGTAGGTATGACAAACAGAAATACATATGTAAGGCCTAAATTACTACATGAGCAAATGCCATGTCATGCTCTCCTAAAGAGAGCTGCTTCAACATAATCAACAACCAGTTCCTCCTAACAGATCACATGTCCATAGACACGCATTGTCGACAGATCAACAACCAGTACCTCCTAACAGATCACATGGCCATAGACACGCATGGTCGATAGATCAACAACCAGTTCCTCCCAACAGATCACATGTCCATAGCCACGCATGGTTGACAGATCAAAAACCAGTTCCTCCTAACAGGTCACATGTCCATAGACACGCATGGACGACAGATCAACCACCAGTTCCTCCTAACAGATCGCATGTCCATAGACACGCATGGTCGACAGATCAACAACCAGTTCCTCCTAACAGATCACATGTCATTAGACACGCATGGTCGACAGATCAACAACCAGTTCCTCCTAACAGAGCATATTTCCATAGACATGCATGGTTGACAGATCAACAACCAGTTCCTCCTAACAGAGCATATTTCCATAGACATGCATGGTTGACAGATCAACAACCAGTTCCTCCCAACAGATCACATGTCCATAGACACGCATGGTCGGCAGATCAACAACCAGTTCCTCCTAACAGATCACATGTCGATAGACACGCATGGTCGACAGATTAACAACCAGTTCCTCCTAAGAGATTACATAGACACGCATGGTCGACAGATCAACAACCAGTGCCTCCTAACAGATCACATGTCCATAGACACGCATGATTGACAGAACAACAACCAGTTCCTCCTAACAGATCACATGGCCATAGACACGCATGGTCGACAGATCAACAACCAGTCCCTCCTAACAGATCACATGTCCATAGACACGCATGGTCGGCAGATCAACAACCAGTTCCTCCTAACAGATCATATTTCCATAGACATGCATGGTTGACAGATCAACAACCAGTTCCTCCTAACAGATCACATGTCCATAGACACGCATGGTCGACAGATTAACAACCAGTTCCTCCTAACAGATCACATAGACACGCATGGTCGACAGATCAACAACCAGTTCCTCCTAACAGATCATATTTCCATAGACATGCATGGTTGACAGATCAACAACCAGTTCCTCCTAACAGATCACATGTCCATCGACACGCATGGTCGACAGATCAACACCCAGTTCCTCCTAACAGATCACATGTCAATAGACACGCATGGTCGACAGATCAAAAACCAGTTCCTCCTAACAGATCACATGGCCATAGACACGCATGGTCGACAGATCAAGAACCAGTTCCTCCTAACAGATCACATAGACACGATGGTTGACAGATCAACAACCAGTTCCTCCTACCAGAGCACATAGACACGCATGGTCGACAGAACAACAACCAGTTCCTCCTAACAGATTACATGTCCATAGACACGCATGGTCGAAAGATCAACAACCAGTTCCTCCTACCAGAGCACATAGACACGCATGGTCGACAGAACAACAACCAGTTCCTCCTAACAGATCACATAGCCACGCATAGGCGACAGATCAACAACCAGTCCCTCCTAACAGATCACATGCCCATAGACACGCATGGTCGACAGATCAAAAACCAGTTCCTCCTAACAGATCATAATTCCATAGACATGCATGGTTGACAGACCAACAACCAGTTCCTCCTAACAGATAATATTTCCATAGACATGCATGGTTGACAGACCAACAACCAGTTCCTCCTAACAGATCACATGTCCATAGACACGCATAAATTGCAGGATGATTCTTGAAGTAGTTGTCAACACAGTTTGTAAAACTATAGACACTTTTAGCTCAAACAATATCCTCTGGTAGGTTGTTCCATATGTCAACAACTCGATTTGTGTCATATGTAGAAATGCTTTCGGATATCCTGTCTACTCTGCTGTGGCGCTGTTTCACTATTTACCTGGTAGTGCTGCTGTCCTTGAGTTGGAACATTCCTCCTGGAAACTGAAATTACCCTGCCTGGACTACTAGGGAGGCATCTGATGATGAGGTCTATACATTAAATCCAGATGATTAGGATCTACATCAGGCATGGAAACTGAAATTACCCTGTCTGGACTACTAAGGAGGCATCTGATGATGAGGTCTATACTTTTAATCCAGATGATTAAGATGATGAACCATATTTTTTATCAGGTTTTTACATCCTGACAACACCCAGGATCATATAAAGATGAATAAATCTGCAAGTGTAGAGAGTATTCCATCTTTGCGCATTGCAGAGTTATCTTCTCTTGTGAGCAGGCATTGATTGTTACGTCATTGGTTCGGGATAGTAACGTCATCAATTTTTGAGAAAATGACATAATTTCCTCACACAAACCAATGACGAAACAATCAATACCTGCTCACAAGAGAAGATAACTTTGCAATACGCAAAGACGGAATACTCGCTTCTTCATCTTAATACCTTTGGTGACTGTATAGTGTTTCATAATCTCTTCTTCATCTTAATACCTTTGGTGACTGTATAGTGTTTCATAATTTCTTCTTCATCTTAATACCTTTGGTGACTGTATAGCGTTTCATAATCTCTTCCTCAAGTTCTGCTTGTGTATCAGGTTTGTTGACAAAACAACCTAACTTATCAACTGAAACCATGTTTTATAGGCCCTTATCTGTCACTATTTAATGTACCTGTTGTCATATGACTTTAGCGGTCATCATTTGAGCTAAGCAGTTGTCATATGACCTTGTCTGTCATTATATGACTTAAGCTGTCATCATGTTTCATGATCATGACGACATGTAATTGAAATATCATAATACTATCAAGATAAGAATACTTGACAGGAAAAATTACACCAAAAAATAATGTATTCCATAGACACAAACAATTTTACTGTTTTCCTCAAAATATTTAATCAACTTATAGATAACTCTGTAACTTACACCGTTTTCCATCAGCTGTTCAGCTAGCCTCCTACATGCATCCCTACAGGATTCCCTCTTGTCCCTGATCCTGCGACTGCGTTTCCTTGACTTCGTAAATTTTGTTATGATCACTGCTCCAATCACGCAAGTTGTCGTCACCGTCAAAATAAATGAGATATTCTTTCTGATCGGTTCAGGTATCGGTACTTCAAACCTCGTTGGCCAGCTTAACTTAAACTTATCCATCTCTAAATAGAATATGAAAAAAAGTCTTTCCTTTTAAATGTTTTACCTGTGTGATGGATTAAGTAACTTGTGATCAATTTGTACTTATAACCATAATCAGGATTCCATTTTTTTCAACTAACTTTACTTTTCAATCACATACCCTCAACAATTGTACTAGTGTATGAGTTTAAAAGAAAAACATTCACTAGCAGACATTGGATGTCATTTTCCCTTGTATTGTACGAATTGGTAATACCCAGTAGGTTTTAAAGTGTTTATAGTTCTCGCTATACACCAAACAAACAATTCGATAAATACAGTTAACTACACACAAGTTCCTATTGAGGATGTAAACTTTATTGTGTAACATATTTAATAGGGTATAAACCCCTGATTACTGATTAGGTGATTGGGGATAAGCTCAACCCCTTTTTGACATTTTCCCAGGACAGGCTTAAAATCAGATATAAGCCAGTCCCTTACTTTCAGATAATATGTATAAATATCCTAAAAAAAAGAATTCCTAGGAGATTTTATTTTAAGACTTTAACTGGTAAAAACTTTCTTATCTTTTTATTTGTATGAGTTCTGTTTTCTATGGTCCTGATTTTTAAGAGCTCATTTGTAATATAAAACAACACTTGAAAAATCACTCATACATTAAAACAATAAAAAATCCAATCAATGCAAATCATAATATATTCCACTCTAGAGAAACAGGATTAAGCATGCAGACACAGTTAAGTGTTTTGCTCGAGGATATAAGTGCTTTGATTAACAGGGCTTAACATCCTTGGCCCCAAATATAACTGTAGCTGTGTTTCCTGGTCCCGTTGGATCCTTCACATCCTTTTTTCGCTTAAAGCTCATTCAAGGACAACAGCACATTCAAGTACTGCCTTTAGTATCTGAACTGAAATATTATTGGATCAGTATAAATGGCCCATTAATGTACCACAGTGCTGCATAGGCTGAATCTCAAACCCACCACCTAGATTAAGACTCTACCAACAGAAATTTCAAGTCAACCTCAATCATTGTCATTCAGTAGGAGTGTGTAAATTCAAACCATCTTTCTAGCTCTAGAATGATAAACCAAATGATTGTCAGTCTACATGTACAAACCATCTTCCTAGCTCTAGAATGATAAACCAAATGATTGTCAGTCTACATGTACATGTGTAGTTGGACGAGGAATAGTGATATAAAGATAGTGCCGTCGCTGGGGCTCGAACCCGCGACCCTTGGCACTCCAGCCCAATGCTCTACCGCTGAGCTAAAAAGAAATTCCCCACAACTGACATTTATAAGACAACCTAATCAATGCACATCTTTTACACATGTGTCCCCCTGGTAAAATACTAGCCGCTTCCTACCGACTTGGCTAGAGAGAATTTCTCTTTAGCTCATTCGGTAGGAAGCGGCTAGTATTTTACCAGGGTGACATTAATCCCCCTCCAGGAAAGAACTTGCCCCAAGTTTGCCAGGGGTCATAGTGATTCCTTTGCAAGTATCGCTGAGTATTTTTGGAAAATCTCACGGGTCCCTACCTGGGTGAACAGAGGTCATTATTTGGTCAATGCCTCTGCTAGGAGTTGAACCCATGACCTCTGGTTTACTAGTCTTACCTTATGATATCTTATGATGATTCTGAACGCAGACCCTTATTGCGCCTCTATGTTCAGATCTACTTCATCCAACACTGTTGTACTTTTGTTGGTTCTGTTTCTATTCCTGCACCATTCTAACTGTGTTTCAATGTCATAAATTGCAGGATGATTCTTGAAGTAGTTGTCAACACAGTTTGTAAAACTATAGACACTTTTAGCTCAAACAATATCCTCTAGTAGGTTGTTCCATATGTCAACTACTCAATTTGTGTAGAAATGCTTTCGGATGTCCTGTCTACTCTGCTGTGGCGCTGTTTCACTATTTTCACAGAGTGCATGTGCCCTAGTAGTGCTGCTGTCCTAGAGTTGGAACGTCCCTCCTGTTACTCTGTTGTCAGAGATATCATGTAGTATTTTGAAGGTGTCAATGAGATCCGACCCCGTACCCTTCTGAACTTCAGTGTTGGTAATTTAAGCTCTTTCAAACGATCTTCATAAGACTAAATTGTCCTCCATACCAAATAACATCTTGGTGGCTCTACATTGCACATTTTCGATACAGTCAATATTCTTCTTTTTATATGGTGCCCAAACACTGCTGGCATATGTTCAAGTACCAGTGACTTGAACAGTAGCAGTACCAGTGACTTGAACAGTAGCACAAACGTTTTCTAGTCCAAGTCTTTGAAAGATCTTCTTATCAGTCCTACTGTTTGGTTTGCTTTATTCATACAAATATCAGGATGGAACTTAAGCAGCCAAAGACTACACCATGTGTATAAGCTGTCCAAGTCAGACTATATAATCTGAGCATCCACTTGAAAATCTATCCTGTGATATATTTTTGTGCTGACCGCACTTACGATCTTCCGAATGAGCTTAAGAGAAATTCTCCCCGTCTTTAGGCCAAGTTGGTTAAGGAAGCGGATAGTATTTTACCAGGGTGACACATTGACATGTGTTACCTCCACAACTTCAGCATCAACTTAGCCCAATCGAATATAAAAATGAAATTCCTTGCAACTTATATATAATTAATTGAGTAAACATATAGGTACTGGAAATGGTAGGTTAAAAAAGAAAACAGTAAACCACTTTTATAAATTCCAGCAGGAAACACTGAAATGCTTTATATCAAAGGTTCCATCATTGGAGCTATGTGATAAGTGATTATTGAATAACGTGCTCCAGAATTCTACATATAAGCTTATGTATGCTATCTACTTTCACTTTCAAAAATACAGTGTTTTATCAAGCGTCACTCGTTTGGAATACGAGAATAATTTTGACACATAACTACCCTATACCGATTGAGCCCCAAACTTATCTTAACACACTAAGTATGATGTCAAGTATATACGACATTATACGTGTACTTTGCTAACTCAAGATCAACTAGGCCTACATGTAAAGTAGGGCATATAGCGTTCAGGTTTGAGACCCCGTACAGTATCAGCTGATTTAAAATTTTAAGATTCATTTGTCACAGTGCATTTGCAAAATACCAGAGACGTCTACATATGCATAACACTTGTTAATATGTTATACAGGAAATATAAAAGTATGATCTTAGTACAAAATAAAATAATTACCTTCACAACCTTTGGACAGGTCTCGCCGATGGTCCAAGATTTGTTATTCCCTCGGGGGCGCGTCTAATTACCCAATACTACCCAATACCACCCAATACTACCCAATACTACCCCATACGATCCAGTTATGAACCAAATACTTCTTTATTACTGTGAAATATCACCTTTGAAGACGTTATTTACTTCCATCTGTCATATTTTATCGGGAAATATGCGATTTGGTGCCGAAAACATCACCGAATTGCCGTGACTATGACCCAATACTACCCAACACTACCCAATACTACCCCATACGACCCAATTATGAACCAAATACTTCTGTATTACTGTGAAATATCACCTTTGTAGACGTTATTTACTTCCATCTGCCATATATTATACGGAAATATGCGATTTGGTGCCGAAAACATCACCGAAATGCCGTGACTATGACCCAATACTACCCCATACCACGGAATCAGATTAGATCACCGTGCCCATACCACCCAATACTACCCCATACGACCCAGTTATGAACCAAATACTTCTTTATTACTGTGAAATATCAC